AGAGAGGGCCCCTGGGGTCCCTGCAACCTGAGAGAGGCCCTGGGGTCTCTGCAACCATGAGAGAGGGCCCTGGTCAATGCAGACTGAGAGAGGGCTCTGGTCACTGCAGCTTAAGAGAGGGCCCTGGTCACTGCAGCCTGAGAGAGGGCCCTGGGGTTCCTGCAACCTGAGAGAGGGCCCTGGGGTCCCTGCAGCCTGAGAGAGGGCCCTGGTCACTGCAGCCTGAGAGAGGGCCCTGGGGTCCCTGCAGCCTGAGAGAGGGCCCTGGGGTCCCTGCAGCCTGAGAGAGGGCCCTGGTCACTGCAGCCTGAGAGAGGGCTCTGGTCACTGCAGCCGCACAGAGGGCTCTGAGGTCGCATCACAGAAGAGGTAGCTTTGGAGCTGGGCTTGGAAGGTTGGGCAGCATTTCCCCCCGCAGAGTAAAGGCGCCTCCGCAGAGGAAACAGCAAGCCAAGCATTGAGTGAAAGTGCAGGAGCCGGATACTGGGGGGCGGGGTACCCGGTCATTACCTTCTGGTGGGATCAGTCATTCGCTGTCTTTTCCTCCTCCGGGTCAGGGCTGGTGGGAGGAAATGGAAATGATAAGAGGAGAGCTCCTTGGCTGGGTGAAGATTTTGGGGGTGCTGGGGAGGGCGCTTGGGTCAAGGGAGGAGCTGGGAGTTCAAATTCCAAGGGCCTGAGGACGTCTGGAGGGCACTTAGAGGAGGAGTGGGGGGCAGGATTGTGAAGTCTGTGGGGAGGAGAGAGACGGTGGAAGACTGGCCAGTGTGGGCTCTCCTGCGGGAGACGGTGTACAGGACTCACCTCTTCGCAGGTAAAGAAAGCTCGCCACCAAACCCATGCAGAAGATCAGGTAAACCAATGTCGTGACAGGGACTCTCCAGCCACCAGCCTCCAGCAGCCACTGCCGTACAGCTGGGGGGGAGGAGCTATGAGACCAGGACCAGGGCTGGCATCTTATTGCCCAGCCTCAAGACCTCAGAAGGCCATACACCTGGGGGACAGGGCAAGACACCGACCCTGAGGTCCCACGCGACAAGGAGGGCTCCCCTCCTTCCCTCTGAAGCCGGGCTGTGCCTCAGAGCCTGGCCCCAGTGTCTATGAGTATCTCGGAAGCAAACCATGAAATGTGAGGATTCAGGTGACGAGGACCAGCTTCCTGCTGCAGGCAAGGACAGCCACAGTCAAGGTGGAGGGCAGAGTTGAGCTCACACAGTTGAAGGTGGGAAGCAGCGAGGTGCCGAGGATAATTTGCAGTGGAAGTGTAGATCGAGTATGTGTATTTTTTTGGGCAGCATGTTAGTGGTATGTTAGTGAGGATGAAGAGCTGACCCACCCAGCAACCAGGACAAAAGGTGTGTGTGTGAGGAGGGTCGGGTTCCTGGGAGTGTGAGTGGTGGCGGCGGTGGTGGTGTGTGTGACTTGGAGGCCAGAAGCAATAGTGACTCCCCTCTCCCTTCTTCAGACTTCCTGAGCCCCCCTGGGACTGCCTGGGACCCCAGCCGGGAGGCGACATCCCTTGGTGAGAAATGCTTAGGACCTGCCCACACTGGGTTGATCTGGTCTCAGCTCTAATGCCAGGCAGAACCTTGACTTTGCTTTGACCCCAAACCCAAGCCCAATCCTGATCTTGGATTTGACTCTTACCTACAACCTCAGCACCGCCCCCACCCCTAATCTTGACTCCAGTGTCTGCCCCATCCCTAACCACGAACATCAGCCCTGGTCCCAACCCAATTCCAGCCTGGACTTTGACCTCCCCCTCACCTCAGCCCCAATGCAGACCTTAGCTTTGACCCAGCTCTCTCCTCATGACTCTAACTTGGACTCTTTCCAATTCTGTTCTTAACTATTTCTCTGACAATGACCATGATCTAACCCATACCTGACTGAACCCTAAAATTAACAAGGACCCCGAACCTGATGCTGACCCTAATCACTCCTTCCTAGTACATCACGGGTCAAGCCTTCCACCTCTCCCTGCCCCTCAGGCTCCCTCCATATCTTAGGCTGCACTTTCCTTCCCCAAACCCCTAGCATGGCTCCCAAACCTCCAACTCCCCACCTCCTGCCCACACAGGGTCCCAGTCCTATGAGGATATGAGGGGGATCCTGTATGCAGCCCCCCAGCTCCGCTCCGTTCGGGCCCAGCCGGGTCCCAATCATGAGGAAGGTGGGTGCTTCTACTGCTGCCCCCTGCTGTCCTCTGAGGCTGACTCTCCCAGCCTCCTCCCAGCTCTGCGTTTCACTCCTCCCTGGTCCTACCCAGATGCAGATTCTTACGAGAACATGGATAATCCTGATGGGCCCAGACCAGCGTGTGGAGGAGGGAGCCACAAGGGGACCTGGAGCACCCGCTGATTCCCTTCAGGTAAGCTGGGAGCTGCCCTCTATGGAGGAGGGAGATGATGAGCAGGGATGGCAGTGGGGTTCTGGCACTCGGGGAGGGAGAAGAAAACGGGTTCCCACGGCCTGGTGGGCAGGGGGAGGGCTCCTGGACTCTTCCCCATCACAGTTTCTTCTGCGTGTCCTGGGCCTCCTCAGGTTCCTGAGATCCACACCTGACTGAGATCTGGGGACCCACAGCAGATGATGTCAACCTCGAGCGACGCTGCTCAGGCTGTGTGTACCCGTGTGTGTCTGTGTGCACAAGTGGAACGTCAGTCCCGTTCGCACTGCCCAAATAAACTCCACGAGCTGTTCCAGTCCTGTGATGTAGTGCCCTTGTGTGGGAGGGGAAGGGAGGGCGGGGACGGGTGCATTCCCATCCTCTCTCAAATCCAGTAGAGGAGGGAGAGCTGCATCTTGGGCACAACAGGGCCTTTTCCTTCCTATGTCTTGGCCTACCCCATCTCCCCTACTTGCCTGCCGTTCCCACCATCAGTTGTTCAATCATTGTTCGTTCAGCAGTTGTATGCTGGGTGTGCAGTGAAAAGGAAGCAATCCAGGAACTGGCGGTCATCACTGACGTTTATTGAACATCTACTATGTTCTTAAATCAGTTAACCCAGTTAATCTTTACAGTGACCTCCCCCAAGTTATTGAGCACTTATGTGCCAGGATTGTATTAAAGCATGTCACGTATTTTACGTGTGTATTATGTATACGTGTGTTTATGTATATTAGCTAATTTTGTCTTCACAAACACCCCTATTTCATAGATGAGGAAACTGAAGCAGAGAAGCTAAATAACATGCTCAAGGCTCGCCTAGTTAGTAAGTGCCGGGGCCTGGACCTGAACTCTGGCCGTCTGATTCTAGAGCCTATACTCAGTCTTTTTAAAAAGATATTTTTATTGATTCCAGAGAGGCAGGGAGAGGGAGAGAGAGATAGAAACATCAATGACGAGAGAGAATCATTGATTGGCTGCCTCCTGCACGCCCCACACCGGGGATCGAGCCCACAACCCGGGCATGTGCCCTGAGCGGGAATCGAACCCTGACCTCCTGGTTCATAGGTCGACGCTCCACCACTGAGCTAGGCCAGCTGGGTGAGCCTATACTCAACCTTGACATTCTCCCTTCCCAGGTGCAATTCTGCAGGTGGAAGCTGAGTGCCAAGGGTCAACTAACATGTCTAAGGTCACACAACTAGCACTTCACAGAGCTGGGTCCGAGTCCAGAAATCTGGCTGCCATTTTAGCCACTGTGCCCACCACCTGGTCAACTGCCTACTTCTGATATAAACCACGAGCAAAAAGACTTCTAGAACGAAAAGTCTCCAGGCCCTGAAACCATTATGTCGTAAGCTCCGCCACACCCAGATTCTTTTCTCAGGCGAGGGTAGAATCAGCTACGGAGACTCCTGGCGTCTCCTGCCTGTCTCCCCGGCCCCAGCGCTCTTCCGAAGCCCAGGACTGGCTGAAACGCAGTCCCTCTTCTGCTTAGGATGTGTGGATGTCTTTGCAAGACTGACTAGACCTTTCAGTATCTACAGTTTTATTTCTGGAATTACTTTTCCTAACGTACCAGTTCTTTCTTCCTAATGTCCTATTTTTGCTTTAGAGACTCTATTCCTTCTTTGCCTCTGACCCT